ACTATGTGATTTTGTTGATAGTAAGGCCACTTGTATTTCCTCGTTAACAGAAAGCCTCGTAGCAAAAATTTATGTTCTTTTCAGGTCATAATTCAGTTAAGCTACTGGTTAGCCGCACCTTTTTGTCGGAACTGTGTTCATACTTCTCACTCACAATAAAAAAGTCTATTCTTTCGAGCTCTGAGAATAGTTATACCTATAATAAGCTAAAATGCGCCTTGCTCTGGTCGACTTAACATTCATTAGTAAACGGCGGTTTTGAACCATGTAAAAAGGCTGGCTAAAAAAAAAACAAAAAAAAAAAAAAAAAAAAATTCGATGTTGGTAACAGCGGACGAAAAGTAGATCAAATATGACAACAATGTTCGAAAGAGATTATAATCCAAGCGTGGTGAAGGAAAGGGCTTCATTTCCATCAGGACAACGACCACACACATCTTTGATGACTCGTCAAAAACTGGGAAGGCTTGGCTGGGAAGTTTTGATTGCAATACCATTTGTTTCGGTTAAAGCCTATAAAAAACTTTTTCGACTAACCAATATTTCTCCTTCTAAATGACTTATTGCCTCTCTGATCTCTATATAAGAATGCAGATAGTGCCTTCTTTATTATACTTATGAAAGTAAATTATGCGTATAATATGGGGAATGAAATGTACTTGTACTTTTTGAGGTTATGATCTCTCTGGTCTCTTTCTGCTCCACAGTAGAGTTCAAAATATACTTCGAAATTTAACAAAATGTTATATGACTTGATGATCTTGATTTGGTTCCTTGTGATCGATAAGTAAACATCTATAATCTACTAGGGGCACTGTGGTCGTTTTAGTCAAGTATGGTATGATTTTTAATCTAACAAATATAGCTCTTTTAATTTGTGCGGAAACAAGCATGGGTTTAAAAATCTTAGCTTGAGGGGACCCAGCGTTTAAGTCCATGTTTGTCTAATTTTATTTTGCAGAGGTTATTTTTTTGCTTTGCTACAGCAAATAATTGAACAGGTGCAAAATCGCTTTGCAGACTTTAGTTAATCGAATAAACCTCTCTATAATTTTTTTCTTACAGAATTGCTAATTGAAGTTATTATTTATAATGTACATACATATATACAATATAATTGTTATTATATATAATCGTTTCCCTATTTATACGGAAATTACGTCAAAGTAGTTCACTTGCCAGCCAGGTTCATGTCAATAAATAGATTGAGTTCGAAGATACATACATACATATGTGTGAAGTTAGTTTAATACCATGAGTAATTGTAGATCGGATATGTCAATCGTGTTTAGTATATATTATATAATTATTTTACCGCTGCTTAACGGCTTTAAGTAATTTAAAAGAAATAATTTGTCTATTCACTCATCTGAACAAATCTTTGTTAGTAATTGTTTCAGCATATGTCTGAACCATTTTATTCCAAGAAAATATCGATGACATCAGTCAAGTATTAGAGTAAGGTACTAAGAGATATCATTGCCAATACTAAAATGGTGATTATGGCTTTCTTGAGATTTTTAAATATCTAGAAAAAGTTGTACAAGATTGCGAGAAGGTCTATGAAACGTTAAAAATAAATGTAAGGATTATTACAAACTTTTAGGAGAAATAATTCTTTGTTAAAAAATCAAAGGTTAACATAGTCTCACAAGTGGTCTAGTGCTATTAGATTTTGTTTGTTTTGTTTCCGAAGGCACGTTTCGTACTACTCGCTAAAGGTACACCCCATTCGGGAGCACCCGTTTTCAGTAATATCTTACTGTATTGGAATTGGGGAAACGGTGCGCCTACGTACTAAACCCATGCTTGAGCTCGTGTGTTTGTAGCTAAAAATGTCGCTGTTCGGCTGGTTCCATGTGTTGTGGTTCAAAGTCTCGCATAATACCAAGTTCTTTATATAATGGAGAATATATTGATCTCTTCACTTTTTTCACCTTTTTACTTGTGCGAAGCTAAGGCTAAAACCATGGCTTTCTCGAGATTTGTCTACCTAACTATATATATACGTATGTATTTACTTAACAAATAAAACTAGCCTTTATATAATCGCTTCTACTTAAGTGCATGTAAGTTCCATTGATGGTACAGTCCTGGAACTGTTTTCAAATATATATATTTTTTTGATTATTTTTCTTAGAAAAGTTATCCACTGATTTGTATTGAATACTTTATTATAGTTTTTGAGGTAATCCTAACTATTTTTGATTGCTCATTATTAATATAAAACATCCTACAAATATTGTCAATTAATTTTGATTTATTTATAATATATTTTTGTTATATTGTGAGCTTATTGGCCAGTCTGGTATTTTCTGATAGATATTTTAAAAAAAGTAAAATGTAGAATCCGTTTCTAAATAATTAGTTAAGTGCTCAGTGTAACTATATAGCTGCTGATATAATCTTCTCCATCACTATCCCCACTTGCATCTTCGTCAGCGTCATGATCTTCATGTTTATCTTCTTCACCATCAGTATCCTTACTAGTACCATTGTCTAAACTGTCTTCGTTGGAGTTATTTTCTTTGCTTTCATTACTATCATCATCCTCATTGTCCTCAGCATCATCTTCATTTTCGCTATTTTCTTTTTCGTTGTCGTCTTCACCATCTCCACTTCCTTCTAATGTATCTTCATCTAGCTGATTAGAACTATTATCGATTTCGTTGCTATCGATACTTGAGTTTTTTGAATCGCCTTCATCCTCATCGCCGAACACATCATCTTCATCATTTTCTTCACTGTCTTCATCTTCATTACTTCCATCGGCACTATCCTTCGATTCTTCGTTTATATCTTCATCATCATCTGCCTTTTTATTAATTTTGTCATCTTCATCGTCATCAATGACCTCGTAATCCGCGAGGTCTGCATCATTTTCACCTGCTTGGTTTCTATTCAAAATAAGTTCCAACAACTTCCGCGGAGGTAGTTCCCCAAAAACAGTGATAGTCTCGGAAATATCTTCTGATGCTGGAATTTCCCTTGAGGATTCCTCACTACCGCTTCCGTTATCCAAGGCAGCCGCCCGCGTATACGAGATCGCCGTGAAAGCGATTATAACAAATATGAAAATTTTCATGATTTTTGTGCCTCTTGTAATATTATTAATTCGCTAGTTTATAAAGTATATTACTGAAGTTATTTAGAAAACCGGTGCTTATATAGCAGAGAATTCTCTGTAAGAGATTTTTCTATCTACAATAGTTGCAACCTTGTAAAACAGATAGTGTTAGCTTTAATGTTAGCTTTGACATTAAAACTAATAGTTGATGTAGTCTTTAAGTTCATTTGCTCAGCTGAAAAATAACTTTTCTTACTAGCTGCCATGCAACTGGAAGGTCAAGCTACTCGCGCTCCAATATTTGTTACACCTATGTAACATGTTTCATCTCTTTAGTTCATTATTATTTACCTAATTGTCTTACGTTGGCTTTGTCTCTCTCAATCAAACATATTTGTAAATAATAAAAACTATTTGATTTGATTCTTGATCAAAATAGCGTCTGGCTGCTTTGGTTGATCTTCTCGGAAACATTCGTAAGAAGTTTTGGTCGAACAGTAGCAACAATTTAAGGACCATGAAATAAAGCTTAAAGAAAGCTCTCATTGCTAAGGCTCAGCCTTATATATTATAAATATTATAAATTCATGATTCCCCTGACACACACTATAAATCAATCGAGCATTCCTACAGGTACATAACGAGTATTCCAATTGGGATGATATGATTTCTAAGTGTCCTTTCGAATATTTTTAATATGTCATGATCTGTATTTTTTTCCTTCGTTGTAATTCTTATTGTTTACAATTTCATCTTGGATTCCAAGATGTTATCTGGAATTAGATCTGTCTCAAAACACAACCTGGCCGATATTGAGAAAAGGATTTCGACTTGCATCCATATAAAATTGTTCTCACTCAAGAACTGAAGGCACTGGAACCCAGTAAACGTTGATTCGCTGACTTTATCTTGGATTTTACCAATTTGAAACAATACATCATCTTCTCCGAAGAGGCTCACTTTCATCTGAGTGATGCGATAAATAATTAAAATGATTCAGGTGCGAAGAAAATCCATAACTTGTTCGTGAACAAATCTTAGATTTACCCAAATTGACAGTTTGGTTTTTGGTCTGATGAAGTCATCGGTCCGTACTGCTCTCGAAACAAAGGTGGTGTGATGGTTATTAAAGGATAGCGGTATTGATCGAAGATAACGAACTTTTTGTGGCCGCAATCGGTAGAATTTGATCTGAAAATCATCGGGTTCCAAGAAGACGGACCACACAGCATTCAAGAACTCAATTATTGCGAGAAAAATGTGGAGATTCGATTATTTCAAGAAATTGTGACATTTAATGGCCTCCAAGCAGTCGTGATTTAATACCATTACACTACATCTTGTGAGGTTATTTGAAGTCATTAGTCTTTGGACTTTCCTTAAGCTTTAGAAATGAATATTGAAGGTACTAGTTATTCAAGAAAAAGTTATTCAAGACGTACGAATTGGTTTAATGCAAAAAGTACTCGAAAGCTGGGTTCATCGAATTCATTACCATATCTCTCTTATTGAGGAGATAGTCTCTTCATATTGATTCATATACATTTGAAACCTTAACTATATTCTTACCTATTTTGGGAAACAGTGCCCTTTAAAATTTGTACAACAACATTACAGTTGGAGGTAAAAGCGGAAGGCGTCAACTTAGAAATATATTGTTTGTGTTACGTCAGCTTTATTTAGTGTATAAAATACATTTGAACAGCAAATAACCAATTCTTTTTTGAAAACACGTGCTCAAAGATTTCGATACATTTGTATAAAGTATAAATTTTGGAGGAACAGTAGTGTGAGGAGATATTGCATATATAGTATCAATAGCTCAGTGTACATACAAGTAGGTTTATACTAGTTTTAACTGTTATCTCAATCATACTGTCTCCGTGTATTGAAATAAGCAGCATAGTGGTCGATTGAGACTGTAAAAATAAAATTTGAAGAGCCCATACCTGCCGAAAAAACAATTATTATTTAACGTAGCCTTTTTTTTTTTTAAACTTAACAAAGTAATGTATAGGGAGATTGTTTTCAAGCTTCTCTCGTTTTTAAAGACAAAACCAAGAAGCTTCATATTTAATAGGGAATTTTTATTATCATTTGACATAAGGATCTTTTGAATTTGTTTTTAGATAATTATCTTTTCTGCCTACTTCATAGATGTTCCATCCAATGAGTTAAATTTTCGATGACTCGTTTGAACATTTCGACATTTAACTAGCTTGTCTTGTCATAACAAGAGTGACGTTTTGCTCCAAGACTCGAATCGAAACGAAATTATCAACATAGACTTTAAACTTTATAAATTTCCACAAGAAAAAGTCTAAGGTGTGATATCATACAATCTTGGCGCTCCATCGTGAAATTATCTGCCGACGGAAGTATTCTCTCAATCTCTTCGTTGCGCCGTCTTGTCGAAACTAAATTTCACTGAGTTCACTAGCTTCAATATCAGGCATCAAAAAGTCGGTTGTCATGGCGTGACCGTCATTGACAGTTACGTTCTCACCGGCTTCACGTTTGGGGAAATATGGACCGATGATCTTACCGAGCCACAAACTACACCAAACCGTTATTCAAACTGCTGGGTCTCAAGATGCTGCGAATGGTACATTCAGTAGGCTGATTATTTTAACCACAAGTTGAGTGAAACGCGCGAAACACATTCGTTGGAGAACGTGAATTTTTCAAATAAAGTTTAACGATTTTAAAAATTGTTCAGGCATAAGTCTTTCCGGAATGAAATGCTAAACAATACCGAACAAAAATTACATGACAGCTTGACCCGCTTCACGCGATTCTACCCTTGGATCACCCGTTAGCATATATATATTTAAAATTGGTTGGTTTCCGAACCACTGGTTGACGTTTTACACCTGAAGGTATTTCCCTGGGTTCGACTTCTGCAAGTTGAAATAATATAAAATTTTCGGTTGCATTCGAACTTAGTTCTTCTTTTTTCAATACACTCGGATAACTTCTGATGAAAACTTGGCATAATTTAAGCTTGTCACTACCTTCACTACACTAAAGATTCACTTGGAAAGATTCGACATAGATTTAGAAAAAACGAAAACTATTCACGAAAATTGTAAGTTCGGCAGGCAACACTTTCTGTCCTGAAAACGGCATAAATGAATCTATGTTTTCCTTACAACAGCATTCCAATAATTCGAGATCTTTTCGGGTAAAATTGTATGTTACTTGCAGTTATTGAAGATGGTGAACTGAACCCTTATACGTACCGCTAGTTGCTTATTCCATGCGCACAACTGTACAGTTCTGTTTTCGACTCATATTTGCGGAACACAGAGTACGTTTGGAACAACATGTGCTAGCAGCCGAAATAATTTCAAGAAATACCAGAGAATTCTTTAGTCGTTATTTATTTAAAAAATGTAAAATTTTTAATTTTTTTATTTTTTTGAAAGAAAAAATAAAATAAATATCTTCGCTGAAAACACATTTAAATTTTCTGATAAAATACTATTTTATGATGAATTGAAGGTTAGTGTTGAGGAAGCTTTCCTTACCCTTGTAGACATTTCTTGTCGTGTCGGTTTCACAATGCGGAACTTGTCGTTCATAATCTTCATGATCATTTCAATGACACTGACATACAGTTATACCCAAGCGCGAACAAATAATGAAAGTGACGAAGAAAGTGTTGCGTCATGGAGTGAAACAAAAAGGAACGAATACGACGGAGGTGTTTACGAAGGCGAAGTGGGAGACAATGGTGAAATTATGAGTCAACGGAGAACCACAGAGAGACGCTATGCGGAAGATCAAAATGGCGAATTCGAAGGAGAAATATTTGATCAACGTAAAGATGGCGAAGAGATTTAGGAACTAGATGAATTGTGATATTTAAATAAGAAATACAAATAAATACTTTTTTTTTTCAACTTCTAAAGAATCTAAAGGGTTTAAAGTTTATATAGTAATTTGAAACTTTATGTTGAAAATACTCCAATTTCTTACCTTAGTACTGTCTTCTAAAGGTTTTTGGTATAGTTATATTCAAATGATTCTGCTAGAACTCTTTTCCAATTTAAGTAAGTTTAGAACTAACCCGGCCTTCTTTTGTGGGGGATCGTTCCTCAATTATCTATATTTAGTCTTCGGATGTATTTCATTGAGGTTAACTCGGAAAGTCTGTCAGCAATTCAAAACATTAAGGTTTGCGGCGCATTTATTCACTGAATTATCGCCGTTTTTGTAATTTTCAACATCACCGTTATATGGGAAGTGGGTGATATTATTATTTGATTTTACCCATTTTCACGTTGTATGAGGAAGTACTTAAAGGGCTTACGCTGAGCAAATTTGGTTGATTTAACTTCAATAGTTTGGAAGATATGAACATTAAACCATAAAAGGGCCACAACAACTTTGCTTTGATGGCAGTTTTGGCGGGATGGCAGTGGCTCGATTACGCCCAGTTGCAATAGCAACCTCCCTCGGGCGTCAAAGAAACTATATGTTAGGTGAACTTAATATTCAAACCTATTGTGGAAAGTGATATATAACATCCCAAGTATGTATTTCTTCCGAACCGGAATATTACCATAGGCCTTACTTTTTTCATTGAAAACAAGTAAGGAAGAGCTAAGTTCGGGTGTCACCAAACATTTTATACTCTCGCATGATAAAGTGATAATCGAGATTCCAGGCGTGGTTGTGAACCGATTTCACCCATATTTTGTAGATGTCATCAGGGTGTTAAGAAAATATTATATACCGAATTTCATTGAAATCGGTCGAGTACTTCCTGAGATATGGTTTTTGGTCCATAAGTGGGCGACGCCACGCCCATTTCCAATTTAAAAAAAAGCCTGGATGCAGCTTCCTTCTAACATTTCTTTTGTAAAATTTAGTGTTTCTGACGTTTTTTGTTAGTGATTAGTGATTTTAGTGATTTTCAACATAACCTTTGTATGGGAGGTGGGCGTGGTTACTATCCGATTTCTTCCATTTTTGAACTGTATATGGAAATGCCAAAAATAAACGACTCTATACAGTTTGGTCGACATAGCTATAGTAGTTTTCGAGATATGTACAAAAAAGTTAGTAGGGGGCGCGGCCACGGCCACTTTTCCAAAAAAATTACGATCCTTTGTGCCAAATTTCATTTTAATATCTTTATTTATGGCTTACTTATGACACTTCTTAAGTTTTCGGTTTCCGCCATTTTGTGGGCGTGGCAGTGGGCCGATTTTGCCCATCTCCGAACTTAACCTTCTTATGGAGCCAAGAAATACGTGTACCAAGTTTCATCATGATATCTCAATTTTTACTCAAGTTACAGCTTGCACGGACGGACGGACAGACAGACATCCGGATGTCAACTCTACTCGTCACCCTGATGACTTTGGTATATATAACTCTATATCTGACTCTTTTAGTTTTAGGACTTACAAACAACCGTTATGTGAACAAAATTATAATACTCTCTTTAGCAACTTTGTTGCGAGATTATAAAAATTAGAGACATCTTTCCTTTGTAGTACTTCTTGTCAGAAAAGTTGCCAGGGATGTCGCCGCTCGAAAAACCTACTGTAGGATTGTAGAAGTAGAGTCTTAAAAAAATTCCGTTAGCGAAGTTCATTTCCGCTGAGACTGCGAAAGACGAGTAGGGCAAAATGGACACGTAAGTGCCCGATATTTTTACAACTTTCGAAATCAATATATGTATACAGCGAAGCTTTAAAGCTTCTTTAAAAATACAAAAAAAAAAAAAAAAAAAAAAAAAAAAAAAAAAAAAAAAAAAAAAAAAAAAAAAAAAAAAAAAAAAAAAAAAAAAAAAAAAAAATCCATTGAATGCTGCATTTTTGCTCAAAGCTTTAGCCGAATTCACGTCTGACCTTGACCGCCAGGCTGAAAGGAATTCGCAACAATGGTAAACAGTTAAAAAGTAAATAAACGTTACGAAAACAGAAAAATAGACAGTATTTGTTTGCAAATGTTTTTATTTCAACAAAAAGACAAACAGGAATTGCTGCAGCTGTTGTCTAAATAACTCACGCCAATCCGACAATTGTTTATAAAAATGCAGTCTGCAGCTCCCGGCTTTTTTGATTGCTACACTGAAGTGCCAGCGCTCGGTTTCAGAATCTTATCGACTTGTGCAAAAATAATTTTCAACTCTTTTCGATGCGTGCCCAACTTTTAGCGATTTTATTTGTTCTTGCGCTCGGTTTGGTTCAAGGCTATGAACCAGACACGACAACCGTTCGAAGCGATGTACAACAACCGAAGTCCACGCCTTCTTTCATAATATTACTTTTGCGTCGCATCTTCTTTATACATTATCAAAGCGTAACTTATAGTAACGGTTCAACCGAGAGATCTACGCGGGGTAAGCATGAAAAAATTATTAAAAAAAAAAAAAATAAAAATGCTAAGTCCATACACCATACACCATACACTAACCATTTTTTTTTTTTAAATAGTGAACATCGTGAATGTTCTGTCACCACCATCAGCTGTAACGGTTGCCACCACTAATACAAGACGAAAGGATTCGAGTGCAGGAAATGGGGCTGCGACTCTTGATAAACCACGTGTTGATTCCTTTGCAGGCCTTCATCCGACCTATAAGTGGAAGTTTCCGAAAAAGTATGCTGGTGATTTAAAAAAAGACATGTCTGCAAAAGGAAAGCGACAACTCCAAAAGAAATTATAATGTGTCAGTATTATAATTTTTCACCTTGTTTTTTGTTCTTATATACTTTTTGTAATGAAAATTTATATTTTCTGACAAAATTTTTACCGTTCCATTTGTTTTTATTCAAAAATATTATAATTAGGGTTTTCACAAATCTCATAAAGTTATAAGTTATAACGATTCGAAAACATAGCATTGAGAATTGTAAATGTGTAAACTAATTTTTGTATGAAATCCACAACAGTTTTTTTTAATTTTACGATGCTTTACGATGGGTTATGAGTACCCCAAATAAAAAGAAACCGTCTTAATGAATATTACAATAATTTGGATTTCTAAGAAGAACTTTGTTCTATTTTCCTAGTTAGAATTCCAAAAAATGCTTTGTTTATTCCACTTTTTTTATAAAGGGTAATTCTTTTCTATGTTCCCCACTTGTTTTAAAGAAAAAATACACAAACTTTAAATTTAATCGGGAATGTTTAGTATCATTGGAAAGAAAATTCCTTGGCATATATAGTTTTTGAAGATTATCGCTTTCAAATGTTCACTGCGACTATGTCTCATATGGTTCATTCATTGAGAGAGATATATCGATGACTCGTTCTAGCATTTCGACCAGAAACCAGCTAATGACACTCGTGATATTTTGCTACACATATGCTTTAGACTTTAGCCGTCCCACCGCTGTGTTATATAACAATCTTGGTAACCAATCCACCAGTCCAAAACGTGAAATTATCTGCTTGCCAAAGTGGTTTCTCAACACATCTTTTTATTGATGGGAAGTATGCGAAGTGGCGCCTTCTTGTTGATGCTAAATGTCGTCGAGATCGCCAGCTTCAGTTTCAGACTTCAAATGGTCGGTCATTGCGTGTTAACGAAAACCGTTGACGGTTACGTTCTCACTGGCATCATTTTTGAAGAAATATGAACCGACGATTCCACCGGCCCAAAATACCATATCAAACCGTTGTTTTTCCTAGATCAAATGGTATGTCTTGAATATTGTCAGGTTGGTTTTCGACCCAAATGGGGCCATTTCGCTTATTCATTTACCCATTGAGCCAGAAATGGTCCCCATTGAAAAATATTTCGCTCGAAAACATCGGGCCTTCTTGGAACTTTTCAAATTCACTCATAAAGCGAAGCGAAGGTCGGGCGAAATGCATCAAGTCGTTCGAGTTGCTGTGAATGGCGCCTAATCGACTCTCGACGCTCTTCGTGTACACTCTCAGCTACTGCTGCTATATTTTCTTTGTTGTGTACTGGACATGTTCTATTCGATCGAATATTATCTAATAATGAATGCTGGGTCTCAAGATGAGGGATGGTGTTGCGAATTATACATTCGATAGGCTGACTATGTTGACACATTCTTTACAAGACGTGAATTTTCGTAATATTGAGTATATTTGTGAATGGATGAATAGTGGAGTGAGAGCCCTCACTCCTTTCAAAACACGAAGCGCGTATAATCTCCTTTTTTATTGTGATCAGTTCATCATCGAGGCTACTCAAAAGAGATATGGAGGGTTTCAGTTACTTAATGTTATTTACGTTTTGCTGGTAAGTGGTGGTAAATGACGGTCAGAAATTTGTTAGGAAGAAGGGGAGATGGAATCATATTAGTATGCTTTCTTGTTGACTAATCCGCAAATTAGCTCTCACGATGGCTGTATACATCGTTGTTAAGATCTTAGTAGTATAATTAGTTGTCTTTGTATATTTGTGATGGGCGAACGTTAGAGGAGCTTAGACTTCGCAAAGGATATGTTTGATCTACCGTTTGCTAGATATCATAATCTAACTCGACGCAACAGCTGTCAGGAGCACACCGCAATTGAAAATATACACCTTATCTCTCTTTCCCTAAGATTGTTCGGTTGTTACTACCAAAATCATCGATGACTAATTGGTCCCTGGTGCTGAACGCCACTAGGTTTGATCGTTTTGTGGTGCTGATCACCATTAGCATTCACATCTGCCCACTACATGCATTTTAAACTGATAAATGCAACGTCTTCTCCTCTAAGCAAATAACTTCAGTGCACAAATGTGAAAAAAAACCCAGAAAAAAAATATCGGTTTGTCATTCACAATAATTCATTGAAAAACATGACGGAAGATACCGTAAAACTGCTGACAGTAGAGGCTAATTAAAATTTATAGTTCGGTGGGTGGTTGCAAGTACCAAAACAGCAAGACAACACCACATGGCACCCGCTGATGTCATAATTACGGCAGTTTTTATTGCAAATTTTAATAGCATTCGCGTTCGTACTCCTGTTGCGACATAAATTCACATTTGGACGCCTAACGATGGCCGCGTCTTGTTAGCGTGCACCTGCACTTGTTGCCTCGAAAACCGCACAGGCGGGTGCTGACACTTTATTTTGGCAGCAGAAATATTTTCGCTAAATCATACGATACATAAATTTGCAAATAAATTTGTATTTACGATGCATGCTTCGAATTTATGTGTGTTTGAAACGTCAAATATATGTGCGAAATTGCTTTGTAGCGTTTTCTTATATTCGAAGCAAAGTCATATTCAAAATGCGGATAATAAAAATTAATTATTAGCAATTGTAAACTCACATCACCCCTAAAAACGGATTGATACCATCATTAACCTATGTGCTGAAAACAATATTTGTATCTTTTGTCAATTTATTATTTGTATTGTGGGCTAACTTGTCAACAACTAAAACAATTTTCACTTTCTCTTCGAACATCTGTGCTGCTTTCAACACCTCCAGCTCTTAGGGCGAGTTTCTTTCTAGAGCCTCACGTGACTCACGATTGATTGTAGGCAGATTTTGAGTTCTGGTAACAAGAATAAGTAAAAGTTATTGAGCAAAGCGTTCTGGTTTCGAATTTTACTTGATCTTTATTGGATAGGCGTTAAACATCTCTTTCAAGTATTGTTTCAGACCTCTGCTATCTCTCTTGTGCCAACGCGCCGTTTTTATAGCCTGAAATACCCAAAAAGAAACGTCGGAAACGCTTTTTTCTTTCCTTATTGGCGTAGACACTGCCTCCAAGATTACAGGTGAAACAGCGCACCAGTCGTTTCCCTGTTTGGCGGCAATTAGAGATGCCAACAACAGAACTTTTCTCTCGAAAACTCGCAACGTCGACTCATAAGATATCATCTTCTATGCCTCTGCATCTCTCTCTGTTCGTCGACAGAGGACTTTATTTCTTAATTGCCTACTCAGTCCGAACTAGCACTTGTTGGCAAGACTTATTCTGCATTGATATACGACTTCGAAGCTGTGACGTGGTAGCCAAGTAGCGAGTGCGATGATTGTTTATTTGATGACGGGAGATTTTTCGTTTTGCCGTCGTTCACATCCAGACCCATATGCTTCGCTTCTTCATCGAAACTGGAGAAAGCAGAACTAATGTATATATATAGAATCGATCATGATTATAATCTAAGTCCATTTAGACATGTCTGTCTCTCAGTCCGTCCGTTCGTCTGCATATATAAGAATTAGTCTTTCAGGTTTTGAGGTATCAATCTGCAATTTTTGTATGGATTTCAGACCACTGAAGCATAAAGAAAAATCTGACGATATATCAATAAATTTGGTATTATTGTCCAAGGTAACGGTGCATAATCCGAAAAAATTGTTCAGATCGAGTAACAAAGCATAGAGCTGCAATTCAAACAGACCAATAAAAGTTTTTATACAGAATCTTTTGTATTGGTAAAGGGTGTTATAACTGCGCTTACAACAGAATTCAATGTTTTTCGTGTTCTTCTCTAAATTTTCTTCAAAGTTATTGTTTAATGAAAATAATGCTTAATTTTTTCAATTTAATTTCCAGCTGCTACATGTTAACTGTCCTTTCTGTATCCTTAAAAATATTCTTTTCTTTAGAAGACTAGCAGATCTCTTCTTTTTAGTTGGGTTTCATTACAGTATTGTAGTAAGGCATTGGCTAATAGAGTTGAATATTTTCACCGTGTTTGCTGTCTTCTAGTTATTTTGTTTTTTATCAAAAAATACCAAGATGAATGGTTTCATATCGAATGTACCATGGTGAGCCCATAATTACTCTAAGGACCGTTTATCCAATAGATTAGTGCTGGTTAGCCTTAACCAAGACATGTTCTTTCGGTAAAGAACCTTTTTATGACACACTAAACTGTGTCATCTTCAAAATTGGTGGTCAGGAGATTATTATCTTTTGATATGTTGGGTAGGCAAAAAAGTATATTCGTATTTCTAATCATTCTTCGAATTTAATTTTTTACTGTTAATTGAAGCTTAAAATCTCACTTTTTTAACACTAAATGGTATGACGCAATGAGATTGGTAGCGCTGGATATATAGTACATATACGACTGCAACGACATCTCTTGACAAAATACGAAAATACTTTTTCGACTACCAATATATATAAGATATATATAGTTGGGCCTGGCAAGCTTTACCAAAGTCCTAATCAGTCATTGATCAAATATGAAACCGGCTATTTAACCGGTAAATGTTCTTTTTTAAATAACACTCCATTTGAAGGAAATATTGCTTTGAAATTATATGATAAGGCCACACCTTATAGAATGCCTATGCTACAGCAAGAAACATTGCTGAATAACACGCTCTGAGCTCAAATGCTTTAATGATTTTGTCACTTATTTTAACATAAAGTATTTATTTGCTCCGCAGTGCCGTGTTTTACACGAAATTGATGCTTTGGAATTATATTATTTTTGTTGAGGAATCATCTTTGATAGTAACACTTTTTCGAATATTTAAGAAAGGCAGAGTAAAAGATCTATTGGTCTAAAAGAATTTTTTTAAATTTTTTTCTCATATAACAAATTGAATATTTAACTAAATTTTGTGTTGTTACAAACATACACTATTAATAAAGAAATTATGCTATTTTTGACAAAAAAAAAAAAAAATAAAAAAATAAATAAAAATAAAAAAAAAAATAAAAAAAAAAACACATTTTAACTCGGCCATGGTGACACCATTTCCGCTCGCGTTGGCGGAATAACTCGTTATCATCTGAAGTGAGAAATACGCGT